ACAAGGAACGTTCCCAGGAGTATGTAACAAATACATGAGCGTCGCATTGTCTGCGTTAAATCTATGTAAAGTCCTCGAGGACTTCTTTTCTAGTTTACTTCTTTTTTACTTTTCTCGTCCTTTCTAGTTTTCTAAAACCTCAATCTTTACAATACTAGCAGCGTCGCATCGAATTAACGTTAATGCAATATATACGATAAATTACTACAAGATGAGATTCTAGGAAAACGATTCCAATTATTCAAATATTAAGTATCGTTATATTATAGTTATATAAAAATAATAGGTGAGATGAGTTTTATTGAATACGTGTTTAATAAAAGAAATCGATGTTCTTTTGCGGATTTAAAAATTGTTCTAAATTTCTATACTGCTAACGATGACGTACCAGAAATACAATTGTGGTAATGTAAAATTCATTTCTATTCATCTCTCTCGTTATATACGAATGGAAAATGATTAGACGATGATGCGGCACTTTTTCCGAAAGCGTAAATAATTTTAGCGAGAGGAAAACTCTTCATTCTCAATAATACAACTACGACCGAGATTTCGATGCTTTGTCATCCTTTTTTGTTAACTTCAGCAAACACAGCGTCGGTGAAATTCTATTCATTTTTCGACACGATAAGAATACTGAAAAATAATATTTTCCAACACGTCAATTGTAAAGTCAAATTGAAGAGATAATATACTTCAAATATAAATTTTGTCTAAATAAAACTTTTTATAAATTTTACATTTTTATATTTTTATATTTGTTTATATTTTTGTTGGAGTTTACTTCTAATATAAATCTATCTATGAATAAATAAAATTTATGTATATTTAAATTATATAAATTTAAAAATCTTTTTTTTATTAATCTCGTTTTATCAGCTCATTATTCAGCAATTTTTCTTTTTCTCGAGATCTTTAAATTCGAGATGAAAATGACCGATAATTCGAACTTGCGATTATGGAAATGTCAATCGAACGCACAATATAAAAATGCATTTACACTCGATATAATTTCATATTTCCACAACGACAAAATCAAGAACACTATTTTTTTGTGTTCCCTCGCTCCCGGAAATTGCTGTACGATTTATTTTTCCGTAACTATGCGGTAACGAAAAGCCGCGCACAGCCGCGGAAGCTACCTATCGGGATTACATCGGATTGGAGCGGCGTGTGTGGGAGATAGCAGTGTGCAACTCGCCGTGTTAATCATTCATGAGACCCGAATATATTCTCTCTCCTCGTAAGCTCCCTCTTCGACGATGTTCCACGACGTTCCTTACCTTAAGAGGCCGTGAGTCAAACGGCAGCTCGTTCACCTCGCGCGACGTCGCTTCAATTAAGAACGCATCCGACGAATCGACATGCACCGGGTTGCGCGGATTGCGAATTCGGTCACAGGACAACGACGTGTAACGTGCTCGGCAACAATTTGCCGGGTTCGCGCGTACGCAATATCCCACCTCCCCTCGTCTTTGTTCACGACGTAGCTTGCGTAGCGTTTGACGCTCGCGGCGTACAAGCGGAGCCCGCGTTATAAAGCGCCTCTCAATAATTGCGCATCGACCAAATAATTTCATCCTGGGGTGCGCTCGCGCGCGCACCGAGTTAGTTGCCCATTGTTACAAACGCCCGCCTCGGGGGAAGCGCCCGGCCCTGCCACCTTTGACCTCCGGTTCGATCACGCCCGACCGGCGATTAATTAATCGCTTAAGGAGCGAAAACTGCTGCCTCGGCGCTAATTTCATCGATAGAGAAGGCGTCGTAACCGCGACGCGACGCGACGCGACGACGCGTCGTCGGTGCCGGGCGTTTTGCCTGTCGCGCGCGAGGTATAATCGATGGGAAAATTAAATGGCGGCAATGATCGTCCGTGTATCATCGCTAACGATCGCAGTTACGCGAGATTATAGAGGCGGATAATTTGTTTTAATGATTAGAGCGCGCGAGAACCGTTGCTACACGGAAACATTGTAGTCATTAATAGGCTCGCGATAGTTTATTGGATCTAATAGGGGTGTAATGGGATTACAACCTGTGTGTTAATTCTCCATCCCCGAGTATTACGATAGTACGAGTCTCTCGCGTGCAGCAAACAAAATTTAATTTCGACATCAAGGAAGTTTACTTCGATTTGAGAAAATGAGTTATTTATACAGGGCGATATTCGATTAGTGGCATTTGAGAAATTTGTTGATAATTCATTATCATGTGCGATTAGCGTGCAAATATAATTAAAAGGGAGTGTTGGAAATAGTGGGATGTCTTTTTTTAAACCTTGGAAATTTGTTGAAATGAAAAGTTCATCGCTCGATCGAGCCACAAATCTGAAGAGGTGAGAGAATGAACTTTAATTCCGTATTATCGCCGTTCGTACATAAGATACGATGAAGGGTGCCTAATTGTCGCCACTAATTATTTTCTCGTCGCAAGATCGCGACCATTCGTCGACCAAAATTTCACCGGCTCTTTCAATCCGGATCTACTCCGCCCCTCTGCCCCTCCCCCCTCTCGGCTCCCGTTCCTATTCCACTGAGGCACCTCGTTTCGCAAACACCCGTCACGCTGCCCGTCGACCCCCAATTGACGTTCGCGTCAACGAGCGGCGTCCACGTCAACAGAGAGTAACAGAACTAGGGGGACAAGCGTTTTGCGTCCCCGCTACTCACCCCCCGTCCCCCCTGCTTCCCTCATTCAGCCCCCGATATGACCACCCTCTCGAGTTCCGAGGGTGGCTTTGGCTGTCTACCGCGAATGAGTGCGCAACCGGCAGCGCATTTTGATCTACAACGCGAGCGAGAGGCTATTGTCGATTGGTGAAGCAACACCTGGACTCGGCCGGAAAGCGCGTTGAGGGCTTTTCATTTTGGGCCGCGTTGCCCGGAAGAGGAGGGGTTGATGCCGTACAGGAGGGCTGGCGATGCTCGAGTGTCGACGACAGAGTAGCGGCTGCTGGTTCGTCAAAAATCCGCCCGCGATAATCACAAGAATTCATTCATTATACATGTATATACGTATATATACTTTTTTCCCTCTATTATAAATATTTATTTTTATATTTTCACTATGATACACTAAATCAAAATAATTCTCCCAGGAAAAGAGAGAAGAGTTTGGCAAAAAAGGGCAACTTTACAGAAATATTACAGTTTTTTGTGCGACTACTCATTATATTAGATCCTTCGTTTTACAAAAGTTGTCGTAAGCGTGGGAGGAGCAAAGTAACTAAAATAAACAAGAGTGAGAGAAAAAAAAACAGAAAAACTTATACAATAAGAATAATACTTAGATTATATTAAACTAGTTCGCGCAAGAGTTTTCAAAATTTTCCGGATAATTATTTTAGCTACCTCTAAATAATCAATATCTCTCTATTTTTATTTTACAGAAGCTTCTCTCTGTGTGCACACACGTGGCTAATAATATCATAAGTGATATAATTAATATCAAATATATGCTCCATTTATTTTATCGTGATATACAATGTTACTTTAAGTCGCAGGATCCGTTGGGATTTTTAATAACAATTCATTTTAATTCACTTTAATTTATTTTAATTTTTGATATGCAATGATATAATTCTGAACAGTTTTTTGATAAAAGTAGAAATAATATTAGATTTATATAATGCCATACGTGCGCGTGTATTATTATGTATTTTAAATAGTAATATTCGAGAACATTAGTTGAAACCATGAAATATAAAATAGCACAAATTCATTTCGTGACATTGTTCGAGAGAAGCTTTTATTATGTAAGCTTTTTATTTTGAGAACTTTTTAAACAATTTATCAGCATTATGAATAATTGCAAACATCGATATTAGTATCTACATGTGTGAAAAAGTCATTTTTATAACAAATGTACGCGAAAAAAAACTATATTTTAAAATTGTATTTTAGACTTGTAGCTATTCAGTTGAGATAGCCTTAAATTATGACATTACGTACAAAGTTTTCTATATATATTTTTTCTAATGTCTCAACACTTTTTTATAAATTTAGTCCAAAGAGATATAGGACAGATATAGGCTATAGTAAACTCTTTGCACCTAGAGCCGGTCGTGAAAAGGGTTGAGAAAGGGCTGGAAACACGCCGGAGGTACCGAAACGCATATGCGGCCAGATCGTTGTGCCTTTGTGCACGCGCGAAAGGGGTACGTGGGGATAAAAGGGAGCGGTAGAAAGGGGTGTTAAGTGTTCGCCGAAAGTGCCAATTTCGAGCCGTCGTCGTAGTAAACGCATGAGCGCCGTCTTTTTTCTTCTCTCTCCACTTCTTTTCCATACTTCCTTCCATAGCGCATGGATAAGATCAGTATTTACCTTGTTAAAGTTCCGTGCGAAGGTTAAAGATTGGCTAATACACTACTAACAATAAATATATTTTTGAACTGGAATTTGTAAAAATATTTTAAATTATTAAATTATATGATGAAATATATTTTTTATATCAATATTTCTTATATCTGTCTTAGTCCATTCTCACTTTGAAAAAAATGGATCCATAAAATATTATATACGTAACGTTCTTATTAACGCTTGAATATTCAATTTTTTCATATTAACGCTTGAATCTTCAATTTTTTTAAATATTTATAATTACAAAAGTAAATAAAGATTTCGAACATAAAGCAATTTATGAGAATAATGCAGATTTTCTTATTAATTCATCTCTGATATCATTTTTAGTTTAGTACCTCAAGATTAAAATAAAAAATAATTTAACGTTTACAATTACATTCGGGACATATATTCTAATATGATGTACAGAATTATAGTACAATATTAATTTGTAAAATATATATCCAAATTTTGTATATTTATATATTTATATAAAGCAATGTCCAAGATAATTAATATTTAAATAAATAATTATTGTAAAAGTTAAAATTTTTTACTCGTTCATTTTAAACAAACATTTAATAAAAAATTACACATAATTTTCCCTCGACAAGAATTTTTCTATATTAGCTTTTATAAAATACAATAAATAAACACAGCACTTTATTGCGACGGGAAAACAACGTGAAAAATCACTACAATTCATCCGGTCGTATTCGAAAATGTCACATCTAAATTCAACTCCGTAACAGTGCTATTTCCGTTGCGTACAAATAATATCTCAGAGCAATTTTACTATTTGACTTTATAACAAACTGAATTAATATAAGCTAAAGATAAATATCCGCAGATTCAAATATTCAAAAATGTAATTCAATTTGTCGGTTGTTTGCACGAGTCGAATTGATCGAACAAATTTCGCGAAACACGCGTTTTGATAAATTATAGCAACGCATAAACGTCAAATTTATAATGGTACGCGAATGATAAATATTATAGCGCTGAATTTTAAAATAACGATTGTATTAATTTAATTCTTTTTTTAAACTCTTTTTCCAACGAGGGTTGAAACATATGATTGTATTAACATACATGTATATTTTACGGTTTTTTAAAGATTTACCATATTCGATGATAAAATGTCATATTTTTTTGCGAAATAGTATATCGGAGTAAAAATTAGATGGCTTTACGACGATATACAAGAATCGTTGGCACGCTGGAATTCCCTGATGTGCCTTATCGCCTCGAGCTCGTTACAGCCGCCGTCGATCTATCGACGATCGACGGCAGATACCGCAACCAAGGCAGCGCATAATGCATAGGTCTGGTTCCACTGGGGTACTGCATCCCCGCCAGTCCCCGATGGTCCTCTCGATAGGTTTCCACAGGACCGCAGAGGCGGGTGCAATGAAATTATTTGCTGACTGGCCAATTAATTGCACCGTCGATCAGTTAATCGGCGAAGAAATATGTCGCTCTGTGTCGCGCTTGCGGTCTGAAATCCAGGTTTTAAATTTCGGTCACGTCTCTGGCTCGAGCACTTTATAACAGGTAGTTTGTCTCTATCTCGATAGAGTAGATTCAGTAGATCGATAATAAATGTACTTGGAAGCATTTTATTGTTCAGCAATACGTGAGCATGAGTTTTAACGTTTACAGATAATATAATAGTATATATACTTGTTATTAATTTTATACACATTATAGTATTCTTTTACATTTTTTTCGTCTCTTTTTCAATTATTTCCTCCAAGTTTTTTATCCACTTTGATCGAATGCTTATTTTTTTAAATATTTAAATAATTATTTATAATATTGGAATATAAGGAACTTTTCTTCTTCAAATATTACTATTAAAAATGTGTACTTATAATATCTTGAAGGGCATTTAATCGTAATTAAATATTTTAAAAGAAAAATTTGATAACTGATGTGAGACAAAATTATAAAAGTCCGCGAGAAACCTCTTAAAAATAAATATTTTTATAAAGCATTATAAATTATCAAAAAAAAAAGTATCTTTCGATACGAATTATTATAATTTAATCACCACTGTCATTTCATCGATCGCGTAAGATGCGCAGGCACTTGCGCGACAATTCCGTCAAAGTCGAGCGAGGAAAATTTCTTTGATGTCTGAAGAGTTATCGAGCAAGTTTCTGGCATGAAGGTACTTTGCGCGCTGATTGCTCCGTAATGGTGAAAAAAAAGATCGAACGGTATTTCAAATTTCTCGTTCACCGTGTATGTGTATGTGTGTGCGCGCGCGCACGTATGTCGTCGGATGTTGATCAATTTTCACAGCGTGGAGAGAAGGAGGAAGCCATAATTTATCTACAACCAATCAATCAAACGAGCGCATTTCGTTACGCGTAACGTATAAGCACAAATGTATATGAATAAATTGTTATTCAATCCGTTTTTCAACGAGTTGTATAAACTTGTTAGTCGTTATTTGTTACGTTGATTTGTACTTTTCGTGTTCGCGTAAACAACACAATAGTATCAAATTGGGCATTTCATTCCCGTCGTAATTATTGCATTTTCCTTCAATTTGCCACGCGAAACTCAATCGAATCGGACCAACTGTTTAATCTGCGCTTTCAGTCTTCATAATATTATAAAATAAATCTTAATGCTATATAATTGGATGCATATCAGCGTTTCAATGCAATACGAGAGGGATTATGCTGTAAACGTATATATGTAATATTATTTTCAATAATGAAAAATGGCCGATGATTAACTGTGCCATGCGTGTACATATCGCGAAAAATATGTTTTATTTAAACCTGCGTTTTTTTTCACAATTAATTTATTCGCACAATTTATATAAATGTCTCTTTTTATCTAGCAAACTTTATACTTGCGAAATATAAACGGCATTGTATGTTTTAAAAATTCCAATTAAAGATTATGATTACGGGACACGCATGAAATTAGGTAGCCAATCTTTAAGATATTGAAAAATTCTTTTCGAATCGAACCACGCGATAAACGAGCAAAGGCTTAATTTGACATCGACGACGAAACGGAGGAGTCGTGTCCTCGATAGACGGGAAACGTTTACTGGAATATCGTACTTTGAGAATCCGGAGCTAAAGCCAGCGGCTGAAGTCCAGCACAAAGGTACTTCCTCTTTGGGAGTTTAGTTGTGCCAGACACTAAATAAAATTCTCCTTGTGTTTCTACGTAAAGGGGAAGGTCGAGGACCTCCCGGAGGCCAAGAATGCGCGACTTCTTCGAGCTAAGCACGAAATGACCCGATTTTCCAACGGTATTGCAACGACGTATTGCATGTCGCGTTGCTTTGAAACGACACGAAATGCCAGAAGATAAGTAGAAATAGCGAATCAATCGAGTTTACGTAAATAAACGTCAATATCTTTAAATCTTTGCATCTGTGTATCGAATGAGAAAGGATTAGAATTTATTGGATAATATTTAATTTTTAAGATTTGTTCCAAAGCCACATTTAATTTACAGATTCTGTGAGATAGCATAAATATAAATTCAGTTTTAAATATTTTTTAATTAGCTGTCAAATATTAAATTTCATTTAGATACAATTTATTTGTAAAATAAATTTCGAATTTTAGAAAATTCATGAATAGACGATATCTGAAATCTAGAAATCTGAGGTTTCGATTTTTATATAAATACATTTATGTACGTGTAAGATATACTATACAAAATATTTATATGTATTAATCTTTTAAAATTTTCTATTATTATGTTCCTAAAGAAATAGATCAGATTGTAACGAAAAAATTCTTTGATCAATTTGGAGTCAATTTTTTTAGAAAATGTCAAGAAAATATTCAATAATCTTCGTGTAATCAATGACAGAAAAACTTTTGCATCAAAAAATTCCAGAGATGAATACACAATAGAACTACATTTCTTTCTATTAATTTTAAGTAGAAAATTCAAAAGAGATTTTTACTTAAAAATAAATTATAAAGATTTGCAAACTTTCTTTTCGCGACACTGTACATAAGATATTTCGTCGTGAAAAAGAGATTTTAATTGGATAAAAAGTCTTTGATCATCCTCAAACAGATGTTCCAATATATATTTCAATACAGAATTTACAATCTTTATCTTCTTAATTTAAACGAAAATCTCCATAATGTAATCATTTTAGTCGTTTTAAGATGGACCTTCTATCTTTTCAAATTTATTCTCCCACTTTTCCTCGCGAGAATACCAGATAGATTTATCTTTCCATATTTATCCTCCATCCTCGTTTATCCCGTCAACGCTCGCGTGTCCATCTTCATCGTCGTCCCGACGACAGGCGAGCGATCGATTCGGGCAGTTCTTAATCCCTCGCGCGGATAATACATCTCGCAAGGATCGTGCATCATCCTCTTTTCCCTTTTCCGACGAGGGCGCGACATATTTGAACAAGTTCGGCTGTCACGCTCGAAACGCCGAGATTTATGCACGGACAGATATATATCGATTAAGTGAGGAAAGGAGAGAGAGAGAGAGAGAGAGAAATAAGAGATGAACAGAAATATAGTGAGTGAGACAGAAAATATCCGAGATTTCTCCTTATGGAGCTTCGTCCGTAATGGGCTCTCGTTTCCTTGCACTCTGATGATTGATGAGCCCTTGTTTACGCGCTCCAACTGATCTCCTAACCCTTCCCCCCGCGCTCCCCCATCTCCCTTCCTCATCGACATTCGGTCGCTCTTACGGTTTCCCGAGTCTCATTCACCGGGACGTCTACGGGGTGGCTTAAGCTCCTAAGAAATTACCGTGGCAAATACGGGCGGTTTCGTCTGAACTCGATTAATTAATCGAGCTAGGATTAATTCGTCCAGTTATCGTTAAGGAGGCTACCAATGCGTAATTTATTTATCGAAAATTAAATTATTTATTATAATTGCAGCTTCATTATCTATATCTGATGGGTTAAGCGATGAAGTTATCGGTTAATTAATCGCGAGATTCAATCTTCCCCAATTTTAACTACGCTCTCGCAAAGTAGGCTATGCGCGCAAAATTTACACTGTTTAATTAAAAGATTTAATCGGCCTGGTCGAAGAGATCGTTTAAACAATGTCCCACTAACAATCTAAATTATATTCAAAAATTCTGGTGTTTATCTAGATAGAGAATGGGATATCAAAATTTATTTCTCGCGAATTAATTTTATTCGAAGCTGCGCGTTTTGCGTGTCAAATATCAAATTTTAAATTGAAATCATTATTTGGACTTCAATTAATTAATCTTGAATGATTAGACGTATTAATTATAAAAATTTTATAATTTATTTGTAGAGCATAAAATTATTTCAATTTTGTAATAAATGTACGTAAACATAATTAACTCGATTGCTTTTGTAATTCGATAGCAGTTTATGGCCTCTGTAGAATTTGTTTGCTCAGTAGAATTTTTCTTCGATTTTAAGTTAATCGCGAATACGCTACTAGTTTAGATAAGTATATACAAAATTTGTACAATACAATCGTTCGCGCTCGTTTATATCGATTTTAAAGTTCCGGAGTTATCATGTTATTATCAATTACGTTATCGCGTAAAGTTCCTCACGGCAATGTCGGCAATTAACTACAATTTATCTCGTCTTATCTCAGAGTTAAGTTCAGCTTAGAATCAACGTCCATCTCATAATCCTCGAAAATCTTTCAAGCTTTATTCGGCGGTCACCCTGTAGATAGCCGCGCAGAAAAGACTCTCAGAGTCCTCCTCATCCCCTGTCGTGGCCGTCCTTTTTCTCATCCCGTTCTTTGATTCTTTTTTTTTTCATTCTCATCTCCTCCTTTCATTCTTTCTTAGCGAATAGCACTTTTCATCGAGCAACGAGCACAAGTGGATCCTAGGGGCCTCCCCTTCTCTTTCAATGCATTCTGCTTTTCTTTTTTCTCCCCCCTCCCCCTCTCTCTTTCTTTCTTTCTTTCTCTCTTCCACGTTTTCCTATGTTTTTGCACTGTTCTCGCTGCTCCGAATGCATAATGAATTTTTCCTGTTTCCTTTTTTTTTCTTTCCTTTATGCGCCGCGTCTCGATTCAAATGATGACCAATAATCGATGCCGCGGCTTATTTCGCCACAGCCGCGTTTAATTGCTACTCACTGTTCTCTGCCGTTGGAGCGACTGCTTCTTGACAACGATTGCAACTGTTCTTACTGATAGACTTTGAGAAGCGCGCGTTAATTACGGTCGTCGGGAAACCGCAATTGTCTCCTTGTCTTTTGGCGCAACTGCTCTTTTTGAAACGTGGAATTTTTCATTCCAAGATCGACGTTCTATACGAAAGAACTTTCGTGTCTTTGTCGGAAAAAAGATTCTGGACATATTTTTTTCAGAACATACGTAATTTCAGCGAAATTCTTAGAGATCTGAGACGAAGAATTAAATTACACAAATGTAATATTTTACAAATAATTAAACAGTTACGTAATGCGCGCGCTTGGTAAATTCTTTTCTCAAAATTGTGTAAATAAATTTTTTCATTCTCGGAGAA